CTAATTTGTCCCGAACCAAATTATGCAAACTGTCATGGAGAGAAAGTGAATTAGTGATAATTCCTAATCCTGTTTGACCGCCTCACCGGAGTTGCAATTCCTCCTCTCCATTAGCCTGCAAAAAGAACAGAACACAGCACGTCACATAATGAAAATACAAAAAATTACAATAAAAATACTAATTATAAGAGAATCTTCTCTACTCACATTCTTGACTGGAATAGTGAAGCTACCATAAGAAGGCGAGCCCATGGTAAACTCTGAAGAAGAAGAGGACAAAGACTCTTTTTTTAAAAGGTTTTTTCTCGTTTTCTTGCCATTGTTGTAAGACGATGATGCGTCGTTCTTTTGGAAGCTGCTCATTGCTGAAGGGCATGACGACTTGCTAATGGCATCATCATCTTCCTTCCCTAGTTGCTTCATCTTGCTGTTATTAATATTGTTGGCTTGGATGATATTGGCCGAACTTAGACTGGGATTTTTTCTCCTATAATGAGAGAAATAGGCTGCAGCAAATGCCAATAGAGCCGCAAGGAGGGTAGAAACGGCAATCGCGTAATAATGCCTAAGAAACTCGCTTTCCAAAGCGAACAAACTTTGGGCACCTTCTGTTAGAGAATTAACATCCGACGAGCTGCCTTGACACAACAAAGCAGTATCAAAACCATGATTATTAATGCTGCCAAGATTGGATTTTTGGATTTCCATTGTTTCGGGAGGAATAACTTCGGTATTAGCCTTAGCCTCATTTTCTTGATCCGGTGAGATAATTGAAGCCAAATGATCTGCAGGGACATAATGGACTATGACTCCAGGCATTTCATTCTCCTGTGTATCGAGTTCCTCCTCAAGGTTCTCAATGGAATCATTGTTTTCTTTATAAGCTTCGATTTCCTCTTCAAAATTCTCAATTTCAGCATCCAATTTCGTACAACTCATCATAATCTGCACCATCATTCTCAGAGAAATTCTCGCCGACCTCATTTTTACTTCAAAAAGGTGAGCAATCCTCCCAAGAATCCATTTGCAGGTCAGAAGAAAGGTTCATATATTTCAACGGGCCCAGTTGAGTTTCCTCTTTGCCAACTTCATCAGTCACCTTAGACATGAAATCTATAGAATAAACTGAGAGCTGTTGATTCACACGCCTTGCAACCTCATCGAAAATCACTTTTGCATTAGTAGCAGCCGCAGCTTCAGCTCTCGACTGGTGGTAAAAACTGGCCAAATTGGATAATCCAAATTTTTTTTTGTAAAACCAAACTTCCCGAACGAAGGATATTGCTGTGTGACAGATAACGACACACATGAAACAACCATTAACAGCATCATCACAGCAACCACAAAGAAGCACACTAATCTAGAGACCCTCTATGGTTTCTTTTTACCCTTCTCGACAAAACTCGAGCCGAACCGAGCCTTAACGAGCCGAGCTCGAGCCGAGCCGAGCCAGGCTCGTTTAATTTAACAGCACTAGTAGTAGTGCCGCTACTAGGGGGTTAGCGCCGCTACTATGCCGACAGAGGAAAGGTTGCCCCCGGCGCTACTTAGCTAGCGTCGCTACTGTGTCGGCAGCTTGCATATCATCACGGTTTTCGCTCGTTCGGGCTCGTCTGGACTCGGAATTGAGTTCCATTTTTTCCTACGCGTAGCTAACGAACCCCTCTATCAAATAGTGTTTGAAAGCCACACTTTTTCCCAGAATACAATTTTTGTGGAATTTCCAACCTTTAAAAATAAGACTATCCAGAAATCTATTTCTGGGTCAGAAATGTGATTTCTGGGTCAGAAATCGATTTCTGGGTCAAGAAATGATACTATCCAGAAATCGATTTCTGGGTCAGAAATGGGATTTCTGGGATAGAAATTGATTTCTGGGTCAGAAATCGATTTCTAGGACAAGAAATGAGACTATCCAGAAATGTGATTTATGGGTCAGAAATGTGATTTCTGGGTCAGAAATGTGATTTCTGGGTCAGAAATCGATTTCTAGGTCAAGAAATGATACTATCCAGAAATCGATTTCTGGGGCAGAAATGTGGTTTCTGGGTCAGAAATCGATTTTTGGGTAAGAAATCGATTTCTGGGTAATGGATTTCTGGGTCAGAAATCGATTTCTGACCCAGAAATCGATTTCTGGGTCAGAAATTGATTTCTCGGACAAGAAATGAGACTGTCCAGAAATCGATTTCTGGGTCAGAAATGTGATTTCTGGTTCGAGAAATCACATTTCTGACCCAGAAACCATTCAAGTTTCCAAGAAATCTTTTCTACATTTTTTTTTTTTTCATATTCATTTTATTAATTTGAATAGTATATATATGGCCCATTAAAAAGAAGATAAATTATAACAATACCTTTAAACTATTATTTCCGAGATATCACC